TTAGATTTTCGCTTAGTCATCTCCTCAGTAAAGTCTTCCCTGACACTCTAGTCCAGGCTAGGCAGCATCACCTCCGCTTTATATGTACCTAAGCACCCTATACTTCTCCTTTATAACACGGTATTTTTGTAATTATCTAATAGGTGTCATCCATCCCAGTAAGCTATAATCTTCAGGGCACAGATTGTGTCTTGTTTTCACTGCTAGCACACAGTAGGTGCTGAATAAATGTTGAATGAATACTTGAATGAAGGAATGAATTTAGGTACTTATCATCTTTGCCAGAGTGCAAACTTTCTGACTGAAACTTTAGATCTCCACAGAGCCCAGCCCAGTATGCTATAAATCTTTCTCTTATTCTTCCCCAGGTTTATGTATGATTTAATCAATAAATACTTGGTGTGAAAATGAATTGTAATACCTGGAATTGCTCAAGTTATTCTTCAAAATCTTCTCACCTATATTGAATATGTGCTTTTCTTTTTCCTACTCTATGCACGTTCCATATTTTTGTCTCCTTTTGTTGTAAGTATAACAATTCACTTTTTGTGGCTAGAGGAAGCTTCTCCAGCCAGTAATTCTCTCTCCTTTAATGTCATTGCATTTATTATAGATCACAAGCATGATTGCTGTGTACACTTAGAGTACTATACAATTTTAAATAAAAACACTATTTTTACCTAAGAGGAGGTCTTCTCATATCTAGGAGGGAGGGGAGAGACAATCATACATTTGAAGAACTGGCAGTGACTGTGAACGTTAAGTCAAATGACCAGAGGATTGGGATTTACATTGTGAGTGATAATCCATCCATATTTCTACCTCTTTCCCTTCATCCATGTAAAGTAAAGCTGCAGGATCTGCCTTTGTGTAAACTCTCCAATGGTCTGTTAATATGTATTGCTGAGGCTATAAAATTAAAGAGATGGCTGAATTCTGCTTATTTGTTTTGAATTTGGGCACAGGGAATTAGTCATCTATAGAGCTCAATCATTGGTTGCAGAACTTTGAGTGTTATAGAATGGATAGCTTTGAAATATCTGTTCAGTGCTCAGAAAGCAAAGCATGATGGGATGAGTACTAAACTGGGAGTCCCAAGACTGGAAGTGTAATCTTGACTCAACCTCTGTGTAACTATGAATGCCTCACTAATCTCTCTTGTGCTCATGTCCTCTTTTGTAAAATAGACTATAATACCTCCACTCATTACTCACAGGGTTGCTGTGAGGATCAAACAAGGAAAGCACGAAATGGAAGATATATTAAAAAAAAATCCTACAAGGGGGGTATGTTGAAATATATTGGCACTTTAGATGCCTTATCTTTCTTTCACCTCTGATCACCTTCACTGACAACTGATATTCATTATCCATTTTTCACATCCTACTACTACAGAAACAAACAAATGCACAGATAAGTTTGCAAGTAGAAAGAAAATAAAAACTGAGAGGTTGAGGAATAAGAAAAAATAATGACACCTAAAAATTATAAATGCCACAAATTTTCAGTTGTTACAATTTATATTGGGATAAAGAGACTAATGCTCTTTACATTCTTTAGACAATAGATATTTGTTATCAGCAAACCAAACAATTTATTTTACAGGAATCAAAAATGACATGTAAATATTAATTCAAATATTATATTTCTGTTTTTATACAATATAAATCTATATCAAATATTAATGATTTCAAACAAAAGAAACCAAATTTTTTCTTCCACACAATTCTTCATTTTGTTAGAAAAAAAGTTCTTTATGTACAAATGCAGGTGAATAAAATGTACTAGTAAATATAACCATTTGACTGCATTAAATAGACCCCTTTTACCTACTTAGTAAGTATGGTAGGGTCTGCAATGGTCAAACTCAGTTATGAGTCCAAAGCTTCAGATTTGGCATGGATGGTTAGGCTGGATGAACCCATCTTTACTTGATTAACCTTAATATTTCCTGCCTAAAACAATACAAAATACATGAGCCTTTTACAATATACCTTGTTTTACACAACCCAGGATTCTGAAGTATATGCGAAGTACATTTTTAGAAATGGAATTATTTTTAAATATATTAGGAGAGTTTACTATTTAAAGAATTCATGTGGTGAGTCTTTTATTAGGTTGAATTATATGAAATTGTTGATGTTTGAGCATTTTTGACCTATAGAAATGGCAATTTCATATGGTTCAGTGTAATAAAAAGTGAAAAATCACTCTTTCACCTTAAAATAGAGTACATGTGTATATAAATAACCTACCTGTTTATATACATTTAGGATTTAGGCTAACGTGCAATTTTTTGGAGAGCAGTTGTGGGGGAGGGAATTGCCAAGTCAGCATTTTGGATAGATGGATAAATTCAAATTATGATCATTGATTGCTCTAGCTGCCCCTTTGAGCAGTAATACACATTAATACATTTGGGGATATAATATAATTTAATATAAATGAAAAAATTATTTTCTTTGTAATAAGTTTGCTATGATGAAAACATTCAGTCTATTTTCCTAAAGATTAAATACCATGTAAGTCACCATAATGACACATCTGCTTAAATGCATCTCCATTTATATTATCACTGGAAGTTGTGAGGGGTTATGTTACTATTTTAGTGTGATCTGTGATGTGTGCTTTGGTTAATGCTCAGTGAAGATCTGGATCCCATGGGGTAGTTGTGATGAAAGAGGGTAGTTGTTTTCCAGGTGAGTAACCTAATCATAAATTAGGAATCTTCATCCAAGTCAGTGATTAGACAGCAGTTGAAACTCCTGAAATTCGGGTTGGGGAGGTCAGGTGGGCAGGGAATAGATTTGCAGTCTGTCTCTTCATCAGATTCAGCAACAAGGCATTGGGTATCTTGCTGTTCACTGCTGTTGAAAGCGTAATCAGTTTCTTCGTTTATCCAACCACTGACTTCTGAACTGTAAAGTGCATTCAAATACTGTGAGCACAAAAGGGAGAGCCCAGAGTGAGGGCTTAAGAAGCTCTGGGGTATATTGCCAGCCTTTGATGAAGTTCATGTATGGCCTCCAAAACTAAAATTTTAAAGGATACAGAGTCTGGGTGTTGAATAAAGACACAACTTAAACCACCAAATGTAGTGAGTCACTTTGCATTTTGGAAAATATAGTGCCAACAGGGAAGTGTACGCCTTATCCAAGTCTTAGCCTATCTGCTGATCTCTTCCGAACGGCGCAGAATGCAGCTGCCCTCTCTTATAGTGCGCTATTATAATAGGTGTGTCAGAGTCAGCCTTGCTGCTAAGTTTAGCTCAGCATGTGGGGATTTCACACTTTGCAGCCCCTTGGAGAGGTGAGTATTGGCAAATGACTGTGTATAAAAGTAGAAAGCACTTGGGAATTTCACCACCAGGCTAGATTTAGATCAGAGTAAAGGGGCCAATCTAAACTGGTAACAGACTAGAGAGAGCTGCATGTCTGGTGGAGGCGCATTAACCTCACATCCATTCCATTTCTCTCTCACCACCACTGCAGTTCCCGAGGGATCACTCCATGAAATTTGATGACCACTTTTTAGGTGTAAGAGAGGCCTGATTTTTTCAAAGCAGGTAGAATTTAACACAGGTGTATTAATTCTTTGGCGGCAAGAATATGACCAATCTTCTAATTTACAACTTGTAAACAGTACTCATCTCCTTTGGTTCTCCCTTTGGAACGTTAATTTAAAAACAAATCTAATTCTTTGTCCACTACTGGCATATTAGGATTACATAGGAGAATGGAATTTTTCAAAATATATTTCTCTTATAGGTAATAAGTGAAACACTTCATCTTTTCTGGGGATCAGGAAGGGAGGAGCATTTTCTGGGAAAGAAAAATGTGACACTTGAGGACATTGATCTCAATAATGATTTGTTGGAGGGTGTTGTTTAGTCCTTTCCTCCTTTGTCTGTCTTTGTTTTTCTTACACTCAGTATAAAAGGAGTCTAGTGATAACTAAATAGCTCTCTGATCATTTTTCAGAAAGAAAAGCCTGGCACCCGGAAGCTTGAATGTTATATCCAAAGCCACAATCATTTAACGACAGAATACTAAGATTACTTCATTTCTGCTTTAAAGTATAGCTGAGTCTCCTTTGCCAAGGCCGCCTTTAAACAAAGCTCATATTTGTGTGCAACTCAATCATAGAGCATGATGGAGAGGGAGAAAAAGGCAAAGAAGCTACACGTATAATGTAAGGTTCATTGTCATGAGCACATTTTGACTTAATTTTCCCTCGGTTTTAGAGAAGCATACCATTCCAGATTTTTGTAATACATCTGCCATTATCTGAGTTTTTAAAAGTGCAGTAATAGTAAAAACACAAATGTGAAATGCACATTTTCCCTCTCTAGATGAGTTCATTGACTAGAAACTTCATTCTGCAAACTTGCTCTTTAAACTGAAATGGTTTCTTTAATCTCTTCTTTCATTTGAGACAAACCTAATGGCCTTAGATGATAAAAAAAAAATCACTGGGAAAAGGTTTGTAGTCCCTTCCATTAACCTCTGACATAATTTACCTTCATGTAAGCAGAGGTGATTCTTTAGGGTCCCAGTGCCAAATTAAAACTTGCCATTTTCTTGGGGTACCCTCTTTGAACAACCAGCCCTTTCAAAGGCAAATTTTCCTTGTTCTTGGAACTTCCAGGGATCCTGTGATTTGTTTTGTTTTGTTTTGTTTTGTTTTGTTTTTTACAACAGCTGCATATGAATTTCTGTGGTCTGAGGTTTACTTAAGGTCCAGGCTCTCTTTGGTTACTATGGAAACCTGCCCTCCCAACCAGCTGCCATTTCCTATATTCCTGGCAAAGAATGAATCTCAAACATCTTAGATATCTCACAAGCAGAGTCAAAATAAAGAATAACACAAAGAAACTATGAACAACTTGTTAAATGAAGAACTTGATATCCCTACATGGGAAGCTATGTGCAACAAGGTAAGCTTTCCTGGACATCATCGTACAAGGGTTTACTGAGATCCACTAATGCTCATCTTCATCCTGGCTTTAAGGAGTGGGGATTCGACTCTGCATCTCTACATCTGTGAATTGAGGAACACTTTCTGTGCTCTCAGAGTTGATGGGCGAGATGACATGTTTGAGCCGAAGGAGCATTGTGAAGAGCAGAATGAGAAGAATAGCCAGGAGGCTCAGGAATAAGCCCACATACATGTACAGGTTAGAATACTTATCTGAAGTGGTGTCAACCTCTGTTGCCAGGGTAGGGTAATGGGCCCGCCCAGTGAGATTTCCATGGTACTTGAAATGCACCTCTGTCATCACTTAAGACTTGGATTGGTACCTGTTTCTGTTTGATTTCTATTGCCCTTGAGGCATTCCACAGTCACTTAGACTGTGTCTGAATGTATTGGAGGTGTTCCAACAATCTCATACAAAGCAATCACGACCAGAGCCAAGTCAGTCGTACACAGCAAGAAAATGGTGATGTCCTAATTTGGCAACACCCTCTCTGTCCTCCAGCACAGCAGCCCCCCTCCCAAATAGGTTTTATCAGAACTTCTTAATCATTTAAAAAATATTTATACATAAATAAATCTTTTATTTTCCACAGTCCTACTCTTATACTGATTAAAATAAATATCGTGAAACTGCTTTATAATACTGGTATTGGGACAAGAATCTTTCAGAGTGTTAAATCAGACTTTTACTCTGTTTTGGTAGAGGGAAAAAAGGCTCTGTTTTACCTACAGCTCATATAAATGTGTTCACTAATTACGTGGATTTCATTGGGTTCTACTGTGAGGAAACTTTCTAAAGGTTTTTGTATATTTAAGGCTCAGCATATCTGAATTTTCACCCTTCTTGTCTTTCTGAATCTTCCCTAAGGATGGAGCTTGTAAGCTTCCTGCCCAGCTGCCATAGCCTGAGGGCTGAAAGTCTAGAAGATGTGAGTTTTCTACAGCTTTGTTGATGTCCCTCACCGTAGGCTGGAGGGAAGGTGTTGTCAGATCTGGTAATTCTCAGCAGCAGGAGGTCTCAGAGGTGCTGACAGCAGTAGGTCTAGGCTCAGAAGATTTAAGATTCTTCAACAGATTTATTTTTCTGAAAATCAAAAACAAAAATAAAAGATTCATGTATCTAAGAAAAACAGATGGCAATTTCTTTTGAAATAAAAATTAACTGATATATTACAAAATGGCTTGTTAGGGGTAAATTAGTTTTAAAACGATACCCTGAGTTTTCTTCATCTGAATGCTTCTTTTTCTATGTGGTAAAAACAGCTATTAAAAGGTTGAATAAAAATTCAGATCACTGAACAGCAGCTACTAACTAGGCTAGATTAGGACAGTGTCTTCCAAACTAACTGGTCATAAGGCCTACCAGAGGTACTTACTAAAACACAGACCCTGGGCCCCAACCTAGACTTTCTGAATCACAATCTCCACAGTTGGCGCCTGGTCACCACTATAGACAGTCAGATTTTATTGGTCTAGGGTGGGACCCAAGCACTGATATTTTTTAAAAAGCTCCCCAAGTGACTCTAAAGTGCAGCCAGGACTGAGAACCACTGCTCTAGCTTGACCAGGATAGTCTAGCACTGAAATGAAGAAGAACTAAATCTAAGGATTCATTTGTCAAATTCCAGGCCCCAGTGCCATGGGTCACTTTAACAAATGGTGGAATTTTCAGAAATGCAGGCTTCCTCCAATTTTATTTTTGGGTTCTCTCTCTCACTTAGGTCTGTGGGGTGAGAACACACTTTTTTTTCAGTATTTGTAGATCAGGAAGAATTGCAAGGGTGTGTCTTTTCTGAGCAAATAACTGCATCTTGCATTAGTGGTAAAGACAGAACCTTTGTCTTTATAAGCAAAAACATTCCAGTGTGTAAATAGGGTCAACTACTTACTGTTGAAGTCTTCCAAAATGATTTAGTTTGTCATTCCAAACATGAATTTTGAATATGGGTGACTAAAATAAACAACATACACCACCATCACCTGTCAAACTTCCATGTGCAATAGTAGCAGAAAGCTGATAATGTAGCCTAGTTCTGTCGCTTGTTAACATACCCAAGGAGAGTTAATAGAAATAGCTCAAACAATCACATTACTCTTCCTATAATCTTGAATTTTGCCCCCAGACTTGGAGCACTTCAGCTTAAAGTTTATATTCACTAGCCCATGTTACTATACTTTGTGTAATCTACATGATTCTTAGTCTACCTGCCTACTGCCCCCACCACCCATGCAGAACCACCTGGTTCACAAGAAACAGGAGCAAAGAGAAAGGCTATCTTATCTTTCTACTGTTTTTGGAACAATGGTCTAGGAAACAGTTTTGCAATACTTAAAGGTACATCTATTTTGATTTCTGATTCACTAACAAGTGGAAAAGAAAATTACAGTAGGTATCCTTTAGTTCCCTGGAAACAGTATCTCCAGAGGCCAATGGTTCACCTGAGTAGCTTGTTACAAATACAGATTTCAGGGTCTGTTCTTGCGAGCTTCTCCTCCCCAAACCACCTGGTTCTTGATCTTGCTTTTTCTCCCAAAGCCAGTTTTTCTCAGGAGTGTGATGCATGGGCTCCGACATCTTTTAAAATGTATATTCCTAGGTTCTTCCTCAGGCCTACTGAATTCTAATATCTTGGATCAAGGCCCAGGAATATGCATTCTAGGCACAAGCTTTTCAGGTGATTCTTTGCATACTGAACTTTGAGAGTTAACTATAGGTCTTTCTATCTAGACATCCCAGCTAAAGAACATAGCTAATCTGTCTTATTGGCTGTTTGAGGGGCCTACTTTAAAAAAACTATTTAAAACAGTGTTACAAGTTGAATTGTGTCCCTCAAAAAGATATGTTGAAGTCCTAACACCTGGTACCTGTGAATGTGACCTTATTTGGAAGTAGGGTCTTGATGCAATCAAGTTAAAATGAGGTCATTAGGTTGGCCCTAATTCAATATGACTTGTGTCCTTATAAGAAGAGAAGACAGAGACACAGGGAGAAGACAGAGGCAGAAATTGGAGCGATGCATCTACAATCCAAGGAATGCCAGCAAATGCCAGAAGCTAGAAGAGCCAAGGAAGGATTTTATCCTATAGACTACAGAGGGAGCATGGCCTGGCTGATGCCTTGATTTCATACTTCTAGTCTCCAGACCTAAGAGAATAAATTTCTATTGTTTTAAGCCATCCAGTTTGTAGTACTTTGTGGCAGCCCTAGGAAATGAATACACTAAGTAATCACCCTGAGGCCCTAGTGTTTTGAAACATTTGGGGCAGTGTTTCTCAATGTGGTCCTAGGAAGTCCCTTCATCAGAATCACCTGGAAGACACTTATTACAAATGCAGATTTCTAGGCCCTTTCCCTCACTTCCTAGACCAGAATCTCTGGGATAGGACTCTGAAATCTACGTTTGTGACAAGCTACCCACTTAGAGTTTCTAAGCACACTCTGCAAGGAATGGTTTCCAGACTCTGCTGCCCTCAGAATCACCTATTAAGCTTTTTGAAAATGTATATATCTGGATCCTTCCTTCAGAGGTTCTGATTCAGAAGGTCTGTATGGGGCATGAACATCTTTAGTGCTTAAAGCTCCACAGGTGATTTTGATATGCAGCCAGGGCTGAGAAGCACCCCTCCACAAATAGAAGAGAGCACTTCAGATTTGGGACTCTGACTGTCACGGGCAGCATACACAGAGGCATTACTTTTTCACCTGCCCTGCAGAAGGGAAGTGGAAGGAAAATAAACACTCTGCTAGTGCAAGCCAAGTGGGAGAAGCCGCTATAGTATTATGGTACCTTTTTAATCTCCCATGGACCTCAAATACACAGATTTGAATAAGTCTTACCCCTTGGTTTATGGCACATTGTCATCATAAGGCATCCAGGGTCTCTATTATTTGCTTACTTAATAACACCCATGGACAAACACCTGTGAACAAACACTTACCAACTTTAAGACTGAGAATAATTTACATGACATGTAAATCCTACCTATGCTCCTCCCCATCTCATCCTACTACCTACTCCTCAGCAGAAATAATCAATACTCTAAATTTTGTTAATCATTACCTTGCTTTTATTTACAGACGCACACACCTATGCCTAAACAACATGTTGTTTAGTTTTATTTGTTTTGAACTTAATAAAAAAGTGTCAAGCTATACTTCATCTTCGGCTTGCTCTTTTTACTTTACATTCTATTACTATTTGATTTATTTATAACTATTCTATTAGGGTGAAAAAGGAATAAAGTTTTGGAAGCCCACATGTTGCCTTTGAGGATCCTTATTGCCTTTGGACTTTACTCCATTCTCTTTAGCTTGGCATTCAAGGCTGTCAATGCTCTGGTCCTGGCTGACCTTAATTCCTTCCACTATCCTCCTTTCCAATCAAGCTGTAATGCTCACTGTTATCTACTTCCCTGCCTCCATGTTTTTGTCTGACCAGTTCCTTCCATCTTCCCACATCTCTGCTTGGGGAAATGCTACCATTCTTCACGGTTCAGCTCATGAAACCAACCTTTATTTCCCATCCAAATCCTAATTCCCACATGCTTTGTATCTCAGAAGTTACATTCACCTAATATTGTAAATATCTATTTGAAGTGCTTTCCCCCAAGCTGTAATTTATAAACTCCTTGAGAATCTTTTTCAACATTCTATCCCTTATATAACCACGCTCGCAGTAGCTGCTCAATAATTGTTGAAGAAATGCATGGATATGCCTGAAGAAATGCACTTAGCATTGACAATTTGGAAAGATGCACAGTCTTTTCTCTGTTCTGATTGCTAATATAGGTTGGGGAAGAGGCTGAAACTCCCTTTTCTTTTTATTCCCCTCTCTCACTCCCCTGTCTCTTATTGTGCAAAGGAGACTAAATTTCCAATTATAATCTGGAATTTAGGAATAATCACTTTATTAGAAACTTTGCTCTTGAATTACCATTTTGGTTATGTGATTTTAAAGGAAAACCACATGGGATGGGTTCACAGCCTTAAATTTTAGAAAGTTCAATTGTGTTTATAAGTGCTCTTCAGTAACAATTGATAATAAATTTTCTCCTTCCTACACAATCAACCCTGAATCTTCCTTAGGTCTGAAATATTTATTAGAATTCTGTGAAGCTTGAGAAAGCTGTAGAAAACAATGATCTCATATATAGTCGTCAATTTCGTTTGAGGGTTTGGACAACTAACTAATTACATATTTCTTAAAACCTCTATAGTCTTCAGGACACCAAACACCCTGGTCAGTTCAGACAGGTCTATCGATTTAATTCTGTAAATCCACTAAGGACTTTGAAATGAGTAAACGAAAAGTTAGGTATTAGGGAATGCTCTTTGTTACTCTGGTCTTGTATCTGCGACAACTTTTCATAAAAGCCTTCCAAACAGGATTGCCATAGCTCTCTTTGCTAACTAATTAATGAGTTGCCTAGATAATGTGATTGTTCCATTAAAAGCTCTGCACCGTTTGGAAAGAAAAACAACCATGCAATTTCAAAAGAAATTGAAAATTTATTAATTCTGAAGGATCTCATTTTTGTGGAAAGACTGTTATAAAATTTTAGTATCCTGCAGTCCTTTCTGGAGAGGTCACAATATAGAAATCAGGCTCTAGTCTTTGTAAAAGTGATCAGGGACATAAAAAGCTGTTGAGGGACAAGGAGGAGAATGAGGGATAGGAAAAAGGGCAAGGAATTAGGAAAAGAAAGGAAGTGACATAGAGGGAATGGGGGAGCACACAAGGAAGGAAATGTGAGATGTAAGATGATGAGGGATGTGGGGAGTGGATAAATGATAGGAGGAAATGAGTGATTAAGAGATAGAGATGAAGATAAGGAAACAGGAAAACACTGGGAAAGAAGGAAGGAAGAAAGGATAGGGGGAGGGAAGTTTGGGGGAACCACAAAGGGAAAGAGATTAACTTAACAATTGGCCAATGTCTAACATTAGCCTGAACATCTGGTTTACTTCACTTTTAATATAAATCAAAATACTCACAAGTGATGTGAATGCATCTTTGGTTTTCTGATTGCATGTTTTGTCATTAACTTGGTAAATAAAACTCTTAGTAATAAAAAAACTTCTTGTGTTTTTGGTATGAATATTGAAATATCAACTCTTCAGTAATGTTCCATATCAGCATAACCTCACAGAAGCAAAATAACATACACACAGAGATCATGAATTCTGCTCCTTAAAATGAAAAGGGAATGTGGAGCTTTCTCCATCCATCAGACCTGAGAGGATTACGTGGGTGTAACTTGTTTCTAATAAGAGCAACAAAGTTCTGTGTAGATCTCCGAAATCAGATCGAGATTTATTCAGCAACCCTTCGGGTGCCAACCAAGTATCAGACACTACTAAGTGCTGGGGAGATAGAGATAAACGTAACCTGATCTCTGTTTTGGTCCTCAAGGAGCAACTAGTAGTTACTGTTGCTTTTTCTTTAACACGATAAACTTCTGAAAAGAATTCACTGGTAATTTTGCATTTTTCTGCATGACACCTGCCTATAATTCCAGAGCTGAAATCCCACCAAATAGCTAAGGAAAATGATCAGTGGAACAATTCAGAAGAGAAAGTCGAAACTATCAATTGTAGCAGTCTTCAGGAGTTAACCCATTCTGTTTATATTTATCTGCCCAGTGTAGGGGGAGAGAAAACTAAAGGAGGTAAGAGCTGTTCGAGTATCTAGTTCCACAACAGCCTACGAAAAAACAATTCCAGCAGCAAGCGCTCCTTCAATGGCCGGAGCCATTAACTAATAAGCTTTCTCAAGTGGGAGTTGCTGTATCTTCTGCGGCAGATGGTGCCTATTTGTCACACCTGCCGATAAATAAAATAATGCCGCTCCTTTCACTGTGAATAACATTATAATATTTCCAACTCTCTCTTACCTTCCTGGCTCACCGGATGAATGGGGTTGGCCATTTAAGAATCCCTTTTGAAGCTTGCACCGACAGGCAACTTGTTCCGGAACATCTCTGGAATATCTGGAAAATAGAATGAAAGCCTTGTTTTGCCAGAAAAGCAGACTTTGTTCATGCAAACTATGCTTTCTCTTTGATCTTCCTAAGAGTCAGACCTTTCCAGCGCAAAACAGAAAACCACCTTCTATTAGTTACTTAAAATGCCAGCTGCCACTTACAGCTTCAGAGTGCGGTTTCAGATGCCTGCTCCTTATAAACTCCAAAGAGCAAGAGAAGTGCCTGTTTGGATGTGTATGACACGGTCTGGAACCCTTGAATGCAAGCAGCCTGAATAGTTAAGTCCCCCGTTCTCTTTTGCAGGCAACAGTTTAGAGGATGCAGGGAAAGCTAGTGATGCAGCCCCGCTCTGCCTTAGCGGTGTGGAGCCGAGGGGGAGGAGATAAGAGAGAAGCTGAGAAGCAAAGTTTGTCGAAGCCTTCCACTTTAACCCCTTCGAGGCTTCTTCATGAATCTGTAGGATTTGTGAAGGCTCCCTGTGTTTGTAAAAGCTTCTCCGTGTGTCGTTTAAGAGGATCAGATCTCTTGCTCAATTCAAGAGGTTTTTCATCCTAGATCTTATGGTAATACATACTTAGAATTGAAACCAAACATGCCAGGATGTAGTGATATTTAAATAATTCCATCTTTACAAACAGGATGTATACATATGTATGTTTCTAGGTTCGAGAAACCTTTTTTTTTAGGCACCAGCTGAATACTTTTATTTTGAATTTTTGTGGAAATTTAACATCAATCTTGGAATCGAAGTCCGAGTTTCTGGCTGGGGGGTCTAAGCTTTAGTTAGAATATATGTTGGAAGGAGGCATATCTATCCAGGGTATTGTTCCGTTACAAATTATTCATCCACCTGTTGTTTAAATGCCCTTACTGTGTTTTACATATTGTGGCAGCAGGTAGTAGATTAACATTTCTTGAGTGCCTACTCTGTGTCAAGCATTCAATGTAGAGAATTTCATTTAATCCTCACAGCAACTCTGTAACTTGGATATTATTATCTTCATTTTACAAATAAGGAAACTGAGTCTCAGAGAGGAAGTGTATCATGCAGTTTAGTTAAGCTTGGAGCCGATATTTGAAAACAAGGCAGTGTGATCCAAGTCTTTGCTCTTTTCTTTATAGCAGTGGCTCTTAATCTTGTGGATCTTGGATTCCTTTGAGAACCTAATGAAAGCTATAGACCTTCCCTTCCTTCAGAAATGGGCGTATCATTTCCATGCTCCATGGCCTCTAGGTTAAAAAAAAATCATACTCTAATACCTCGTGGAATATGTTGGGCTTTCTCAAACTGAAATAGTATGCTTAAGATTCATGAAGCTACAGGATAAACACAATGAATTTTTCTGGAGGATCAATTTTACTTGAAAATTCAGATAGGGAGAACATAGGTAACTTGAGTGATAATTTTCAACATATTTCCATGACAACAATCACATATATTGTAGAATAAAATGCAAATATTTTATGCATTTTTGCAGTTAAGCATGAGACTTCAGAGAAATTTTGCACCTGTGGTGGGGCCTCTTTGGGCCGCCCAGACTTCCCCGGGGATACATGGTCACTCTTTCTGCCATTTGGGGTATTTTGGTGGAAAAGTTTGAAGATCATGGCATAACAAAAAGACCATGGATTTTGAAGTCAGATAGACCTGGGTTTCAGCCTCAGGTTTTCTCTATGTTTTCTGGGTTACCTTGAGGAAGTCAATTAATTTCTTTGAGACTCAGTTTTCTCACCTGTAAAAGAAGCTATCTTCATGAGGATTATATGAGAAAACATCTCTAAAGCATGCACTGCATGGTAGATGGTCAAGAAATGTTAATGTTGTCATCTCAACTTTTTTTTGTGTCAGAAGAAAATGAGGCTACTTGAATATAACTGGAGATTTCACCAGGGGTGGTCTAATTTTTCTTACCTAATTAGAAAAAAATAAGCCTTAGGTAAGATGATATTAAAATTCAGGTTTCCAAAAGACATAATAGATGCCATACAATAGATGGGAAATTCCAAAGCTAGGTCATCGTATACAGAATTTACAAAGGAAATGCTCTACAACAAATTCCAAGAAATAAAAAGAAGTCAGATCGTGGAGGAGAGTGGGTGGGAAAATTTGTGAAAACTTTTCCTTGCAGAGATCTGTTGCCAGGCTTAGAGTCCGTTCCACTTTCCACAGGAGTGCTGGGATGGTGGAGATATTACCTCCTTCACCTCAACCCTAGTGAAGGGTGTTTCATCAGACCACTCAGAGAGCTTGCCATTTGTTCTCTGCAGTACAGACAAAGGATTGGAGCTGCACCCCATTCCAAGAAAGCTAATGTGGCCCTTGGCAGGAAGACAGGGTTGACTGTGTTGGGATTGGCTGGCATTCCCAGAATTTGTCAGAACAAGGAATGTTTGAGTGTTTCCTGGGAACCAAATAGGGGCCATGCAATAGAGAGAGCCAAGGTGATGTGACCCTGGACCCTGTCCAATAGAGCTAGCTAGAGGAGTGGAGAGCCCCCAGCAAAAAAAGCTGGAGATAAAGCCCAGAGATAAAACCACACGTCTATGGACAGCCAATCTTCGACAAAGAAGCAAAGGGCCTACAATGAAGAAAAGAAAGTCTCTCCAACAAATGGTGCTGGGAAAACTGGACAGCCACATGCAAAAGATTGAAAATTGACCATTCTTTTTCACCACACACCAAAATAAACTCAAAATGGATCAAAGACCTAAAGATTAGGCCTGAAACAATAAGTCTTCTAGAAGAGAATATACGCAGTACACTCTTTGACATCAGTTTCAAAAGAATCTTTTCGGACACTATAACTCCTCAGTTGAGGGAAACAATAGAAAGAATAAACAAATGGGACTTCATCAGACTAAAGAGCTTCTTTAAGGCAAGGGAAAACAGGATTGAAACAAAAAAACAGCTCACTAATTGAGAAAAAATATTTACAAGCCACTTATCCGACAAAGGGTTAATCTCCATAATATACAAAGAACTCACACGGCTAACAACAAAAAAACAAACAACCCGATCAAAAAATGGGCCGAGGACATGAACAGACATTTCTCAAAAGAAGATATAAATATGGCCAATAGACACATGAAAAGATGTTCATCATTGCTAATCATCAGGGAAATGCAAATCAAAACTACACTAAGATATCACGTTACACCCGTTAGATTGGCAAAAATATCCAAAACCAAGAGCGACAAATGTTGGAGAGGTTGTGGAGAAAAAGGAACCCTCATACACTGTTGGTGGGAATGCAAACTGGTACAGCCACTATGGAAAACAGTATGGAGATTTCTCAAAAAGTTAAAAATAGAAATACCCTATGACCCAGCCATCCCATTACTGGGTATCTATCCTAAGAACCTGAAATCAGAAATCCCAAGAGTCCCTTGCACCCCTATGTTCATCGCAGCATTATTTACAATAGCCAAGACGTGGAACCAACCTACATTCCCAGAAACTGATGATTGGATAAAGAAGATATGGTATATATACACAATGGAATACTACTCAGCCATAAAAAAAGACAAAATTGGCCCATTTGCAGCAACATGGATGGACCTCGAGGGTATTATGTTAAGCGAAATAAGCCAGTCAGAGAAAGACGAACTCTCTGACTCCACTCATAGGTGGAAGTTAACATATTGACAAGGAGATCTGATCGGTGGTTACCAGGGAAAAGGGGGGGTGGGGGATGGCACAAAAGGGGAAGAGGTGTACCCACAACATGACTAACAATAATGTACAACTGAAATCTCACAAGGTTGTAATCTATCATAACATTAATAATAAATAAATAAATAAATAAATAAATAAATAAATAAATAAATAAAATTAAAAAAGCTGGAGATAACTGTTGAATTTCTAGGGGCTGAGAAAGGAGTTGTACACTACCAACCTGAATAGAAATGCATCAACCCAGGTCTCCCAAATTGCAGGAGAGGGGTCCTCAGTGATGGGGGCCTTTAAAGAACCCAAAGAAGAGCCAGAGACCCAGAGAGTGGGCAGCCATTTGTTCTACCAAGGAAGAAATAACCAATCCCTTTACCTTTCCTCCCTGTTCCTGCTCCCACCCTGGTGAGGGTCCAAATAGGAGCTGGTAAGTGGGGAGAGAAAGAAGAAAATCTATCACCCCTTCCTTCCCCAAAGGCAGGTGGCCACCACCTACAGGTCTTAAGGTAGGGTTGGAGGGGGCACCTTATCTCTGAGTAAAGCCTAAAGAATTTGATTAATATCTTGGACCAAATATGTCCTGATTACTGAATCAAGACTGTGTTTTGTGACTTTGAATGATCTTAGGATTGTTTATTCTCAAAGGAATGAAAGGAAAATTCATGTGATCTGTCCAAGCTTCCATTCAGGGTCAGGGAAAATTTACTCCAACAGAGTACGTTTTATTTGCACATTGGGAGACAAAATGAAGTCGTTTTGATTCTATCATACATTATACTTTAAAAAATACCAGTTTTGCCCATTAATTCATTCCTTCATTCAACAAACATCTGAGTGCCTATTATGTGCCAGGCATTGTGCTAGGAGTAGGACATACAGTGAAATGAAAACTAATCCTTGCCTTCAAATTGCTTATGGTCTATGGCAGGGGTTAGCAAACTTTTTCTGTAATGGGCCAAATAGTAAATATTTTACGCGTATGGGACACTTAAGATCTCTGTTACATATTCTTCTTTTTTTAACCAATTCTATAAAAATGCCAAAACCATTCTTGAGGGCTATACAAAAAAGAGATCGTGGGTCGGATTTAGCCCATGGGTCCTAGTTTGCTGGCTCCTAATGTGTGGAGGAAACAATTTTTTAAAAACCACCAATTACCATACCTTTATTATGATTGATGACGTGTTTAGGGCATTTGGGGAAGAGACACAGAAGAGCATTACCTAACTGACTGGGCAATCGGGGTTTCCAGGAAGTGGCAATGTTGATTTGAGACCTGAAGGATGAGTAGATTTAGTCAGGGTAAAGGAGGTGAGTAGTATTCAATGCAAACAGAGCTGCCTGTACAGAGGCACCAAAGCTTGACAGAGCTTGGTTCACTTTAGAAACTACAGAAGAGGAAACTGAATCTTACAGACGTTAAGTAGTTTGCGAAAGGTCACACAACTAGTAAGTGATGGAGTTTAAACTCTTAACCCAAGTGTGTCTGACTCTAAACCCACGCTCTCAGCCACTGTATCATACTCCCGCCCTAGAACTGAAGCTATATCTAAGATCTGCGTCTTAGTATTTGCAAATCTGCAGCTGTGTCTGGCTCACTTCTGATTCCCTTTGGGGTGAAAATGTCAAAGTTCTAAAAGGGCTTGTAGACATTAAAAATAAGACAGTGAATCAATAATGTTGGGTTGTCTTGACTAGAACTCTAGTTCTCTCTTTTAAAAGTAACCCTTCCACCAAATAAAACCTAGCACACATTGCTCAAATTCAGGCTTTGCTTATTTCATCCTTACAGGAAGAGGTTTTTTTTCCTGGTAGCTAAGCTCTAGCACTGCAATAATGTAATTTTCTTACCTTCTCATTATAGATTTAGACATTTAGAAGAGATATCACCCTCTGGCTTGGACTACATATGGTGACTGGTCCAAGACTGTTCCTGTCTTCATCACTCACATTGATGACCTTGGACAAGTGAATTTACTCAGCACAGATTAAATCTGTCAGTTTTTTATTGGTTGCTTGGTGGATTTTTTTTCTGCTTCCCAAAGCTCCAGTGCATGGTTGTATATCCTGGTTATAAATCCTTCTAGTTCTTCTATGTGAGCCGCCACCACAGCATGGCAACTGACAGATGGGTGGTGTGGTTCTGCAACTGGAAATTGAGCCCAGGCCCCTCAAGTGGTGAGAGTGCCGAACCTTAACCACTAGGCCACCAGGACTGGCTCAACTTGGTGAATTTTTATTGAGGTAGCATGGTGTGGAAAGCAAGGTTAACCATGCAGCAACTACTCCATGAAAATACTCACCTTAAAGCCTGCAATGTATCTTTGGAGTCAGCAAATCTAGGGGTTGAAATGGGGAGGAAAAGAAAATGGGACTGGCACAGCCTTGCTGTTAGTGGCCTTCCAATGGTCAGTGGTTCTTAACCAGGGCTGTGGTTCATCACCCAGGAAACTCTTTCAAAATACAGAATCTTGGCCCTATCCCAGACCTTCTTCAGGCCTGAGACCTGAGAATATGTATTTTTGACAAACTCCCCAGGTTAAGAACCTCTGTGTTGGGGGATCAGACAGGTAGGTGCCTAATGAACTGATTGTATTAAAAAGTATATCAGACACCCTTGGTCTAGGCATAGAAATTCTGCTTATTTTTTACAGAAATAGAAAAAGCAATCCTAAAGTTCATATGAAACCACAAAAGACCCCCAAAAGCCAAAGCAATCTTGAGAAAGAAGAACAAAGCTGGAGGCATCACACTTCCTGGTTTCAAACAAACTACAAAGCTATAGTAATCAAAATGGTATGGTACTGGCAGAAAAACAGACACATAGAGCAATGAAGCAGAATCAAGGGCCCAGAAACAAACCCATGCATATAGAGTCAACTAATATTTGACAAGGGATTAATTAATATTCAATAGAGAAAAGATAGTCTCTTCAATAAACGATGTTGGGAAAACTGGATATTCATATGCAAAAGAATATCATACCCTTAGCATACACCACTCACAAAAATTAACTCAAAATGGATTAAACACTTAAATGTAACACCTGAAATGGTAAAACTTGTAGAAGAAAACATAAAGAAAAAAACTCCTTGATATAGGTCTTGGCAATGACTTTTTGGGTATGATACCAAAAGCACAAGCAACAAAAGCAGAAATAAATGAGTGAGACTACATCGAACTAAAAAGCTTCTGCACAGCAAAAGACTCAACTAAATGAAAAGAGAACCTTTGGAATAAGAGAAAATATGTGCAAACCATATATCTGATAAGGGGTTAATATCCAAAATACATAAGGGACTTATACAACTCAATAGCACAAAAACAAATAATTCGATTAAAAAATGGGCAAAAGACCTGAATAAACATTTTTCCAAAGAAGATATACAGATGGCCAACCAGCATGTGAAAAGGTGCTCAACTTCAGTCATCATCAGGGAAATGGAAATCAAAACTACAATGAGATATCACCTCACACCTGTTAGATTGGCTATTGTCAAAAAGACGAGAGATAACAAGTGTGGTGAGGATGTGGAGAAAAGGGACCCCTTGCGCACTGTTGGTGGGCATGTAAATTTGTGGAGCTGCTGTGGAAAACAGGATGGTGGTTCCTCAAAAAATTAAAAATAGAACTATCATATGATCCAGCAATCCCACTTCTAGGTATATATCCAAAGGGAAAAAAATTGCTATCTTGATTTGCACCCCTATGTTCATTGCAGCATTATTTACAATAAGAAAGACATGGAAACAGCCTAGGTACACAGGTGGCCGTTGATGGATGAATGGGTATATATGTAGAATATTATTTGTCCACAAAAAGAAAGAAATTCTGCCATTTTCAACAACATGGATGAACCTTGAGAGCATTATGCTAAGTGAAATAAGTCAGAGAAAGA